GGTTTCTGGGCCCCTCTATGGTATCATTATAGCAAGGAGCGCCAAGGAAGCATAGTTGTAAATATTCAGGCTTCTATATTAAGGCTCTCCAGGGCGACATCCTTCATCAAAAGCTCGAGATCTGGACATGGACCTCAGCTGCCTGTTGCAAGCCCTAATTGCAGCACGGACTTGAGAATACACATGCGCCTCTATGCTGAGGGTGTCGGGTCTCGGGCTCAGGATTCAGGTTGAAGTGCAGAGGCCCCATCAACGAAAGTACTGCAGACGGCAGAACCGAGCAAAAATGGGCATCCATAATAGCCATCAAAAAAACTAACTCCCCAAACGCTGGTTTAGGGTTAGGGGTTTAGGGCTTAGGGTTTGGAGTTCAGGGTTTCGGGTTTAGGGTTTAGAGTTTAGAGTTTAGGGTTTAGGGTTTAGGGTTTAGGGAGACTCCTCGCCCCAGAGTTCATCAGTGGGTTTAGTCCATATCATCCGAGTGTTGCTCAGCACATGTTCCTCTCTTCCCTGCAACCCTCCAGAAAAACCCAGGCACTCCCTCAACCCCACGCTTCCAATTCCAACCTCCACAACCCAGAACCTAAAACCCAGAACTTCAACCCTAAACCCTAAACCCTAAACCCTAAACTCCTCAACACGACCACAACCTCGCGCCTTACTGGCCCCAACGAGGGTGTGGTCTCCGACTTCGATGGTGTAGGTGGGTGCGAAGAGGAGGGCCTCACGGGCACAAGCCTTTTTTGGGAGGGTGGAGGGGGGCTTAGGAGGTTTAGGGTTTAGGGTTTAGGGTTCAGGGTTTGGGGGGGGTGGATCGATGGTTTCAGGTTTGGGGTTTTTGAAGGGCTTGGGAAACAGGCTTCGAGGTTTAGGGCAAGGAGATCTGCTCTGGGGTCTGCGTGACCCCTGGCTAATCAAAATCTCGCCCCGAAATGTCCATGCCGCGTGATGCCGACACCCCTGCTTGAAATGCTTGTGGCTAGCTCCCCCTGCCGCCACACATCCCGAAACCCGAATGCGAAAGACTAAAAGCTCGAAAAGGCCCCAAGCCGCGTCTGGGAACAGCGCCAAGCCCAGTACGATGAGGCCGTAGAGCACGGAGGGGCCCAAGTCAGAAAACCTGGAGTTTAGGGCCTTGGGTGTAGGTCCCATTATACTGCAATAATAATAATAAGGAACCCCCAAAGTAGTATCGATAATTATTGAGGCCCCTACATTAGATGTAAGCAACTCCGTAGGGGTTTCTAGATTGTGCATATGTCGCAGGGGTGCCACCGTGCTTAAGATCCCCAGGCACTGAAGGTGAAGCTCCTTGGGTCGTGTTATATAGGGGCCCTTAATACTTAGAATAGGGCTTTGGGGGTTATATTCTACTACAACTACAATAAGGAACCCCCCCAAAAAACAAGTATTGGCAATTTTTAAGGCCTCTAAATGAGGTGTGTTGCTTAGGTTTGGCTGTGAGGACTTTTAGAGTTTAAGGATGGTTTGGTGTTCAGGGTTCAGTATTTTGGGTTAAGGGTTTAGGGTGTAGGCTTCAGGAGAAGTTCTGGGTTCAGCTTTCAACGTCTAGGGCGTGCTGCCATCATCGGAAACCCGCTTATCTAGAGAAAGCTGGAGAAAACCTGAACCTAAACCCCAAACCGTCCAGAATCCAAGAGCCTAAACCGTAGTTACACCCCCAAACCTCAAGCCCTCACCCCTTCAAATCAAAAACAAAGAGATCGGAAACCCTCTTCCACAGGTGTTTTGGGCTTAGGAGTATTAATATTGCAATTGTTATTTTTCTTTGTTCTTAGCATCTTTATGGATACGAATATTGTTATTGCAATCATTATGACTATTATAATGATTATGATTGTGATTGTGATCATGATTATGAGTATTGTGCTTATGCTTCTTTTGAGTTGGGTTTTGGATTCTTCCCGTGCCATTTTTTTCGACAAGAGTCCAGACCCTTGGTCCTTGGCCTTGGGGTTCAGGGTTTTGGGACTTTCGGGGTTGAAAGCGTACCGTAGGGTACTGTAATTGGGTCCCCTTAAAGGGTGCTATAGGGTTTAGGGTCTAAGGGCTTCGGGGTCTAAGGTTTAGGGTTTCGCTTAGGGTTTAGGGCTTAGCACTTAGGGTGTAGGGCTGAGGGTGTCGGGGTTTAGGGGTTTCGGGTTTAGGGGTGTAGGGGTCTAAGGTTTAGGGATTAGTTTAGGGTTTATGGTTCAGGGTTTAGGGTTACAATGTCAAACCGATCTGTTGCCCTACGCCCCAAATACACTGTTGGACTGCGACTCAGCTTGGTACTTTGCTGGTTTCGAGTAAGGGCCATTGACTTCAGTGTAGGGTTTCGCTATAGGAGCTGTGCCTGAAATACAAAATCCTAAGCCCTGAAGTGGCCTCATCCGTTCCATCTCGGACCACGCAGCTACAACCTGCAACAGGACGTTAGGTTCATAGGGCAACTGCATGTTAGTAGAGCGATAACCATACAGATCAGAGCCTTTCATGTTCGTTGCAGAAGTTCAGGGTATGACACGAAGGGTCGGAATCGTTGATAATGTATAAGGTAGAGGCCTTAATAGCTAGAATACCTTGTTTAAGGGCTCCTTAAAGGGCTCCTTATTGTAATTATGGCATTAATGTGGGGGCCTTAGTAATAATTTTTAATGCGGGCTTTAAGGGCTCCTTATTGTAATTATAGCATAAAGGACCCCAAAACCCTATTCTAATGACTAAGGCCCTATAGTAACTCCCTTACAGACCGCACATAGCCGACGATGTTAAACCCCAAAGCCCTGTTCTCCCCTCTAATCAGGCTCCTGATTTGAACGCCAAATTTAAAGCTTCGAACAGATAACAGACAACCCTAAACGCTAAACCAGACACCCTAAACCCTAAACTCTAAACCAGAAACCCTAAAACACAGACCCTAAACCCTAAACCAGAAACCAGAAACCCTAAACCCTAAAATCCTGAACCAGAAACACAAAATCTGACTCCCCTGGCCCGAGGAGTTGCGTCCGAGAATGCGGATCGGGTATTTTTTCGACAGCTTCCCCATGAATTGTTTAGGGTCTAGGGTTTAGGGTCTAGGGCTTATGGTCTAGAGTTTAGGGTTTAGGGTTTAGGGTTTCGGGTTTAGGGTTTCCAGTCTAGGGTTTAGGGTCTAGGGTTTAGGGTCTGTGGTTTAGGGCTTTGGGTTTTGGGGGTAAGGAATAGAAGAGGTGCCTGAACTGTTAGAGTAGGGTTTTTGGGGTATGCAACCCATGCGACCCAATGATGATTCTCATGGTACAAGGACCCAACGGGAATGTCACCACACGGTACTCATGCTTCTTTGGGATGAGGACTGCAATGCATCAGTTTTGCAAACTGCTGGCTGAAAGCAGCTGTGCAGGCTTCAGCTAGGCCCGCTCAGGTTCTGAGTTTTACGTTGAGGGTTTAGGGCTTTTGGGTTTGTGAAGGTGAGTATACAGTACACAAGATGCCGGTAGATAAGATTGGCAGCGCATCGGGTACCTGCTCCTTGTTGTTGGCCGTGTCAGCCAGGCCAAGTGCTTTCACAGGCACATTCACCTTCCTCAATGCAGACAGCAAAAGCATCGGGAGTTAGATGCTAGTGGGAAGATTGCTGGCGTTGGATGCGTGATCGTGATGACAACAATGCTTCTGATGAGCATCATGATGATGACTGCGGTGATGATCCTAAACCCTAAACGCTAAACCCGAAGAGGAGGATTGCTGCTGCGGCGGCGAACTGACATGACTGGGCACGTCGGGCAAGAGATGCCAGAGATGGCACGCGACACCCTAGCCTGAAACCGTAAACCCTTAGACCCTAGAGGTCCAAAATAAAATCGACGACCAATCCAACCCCCGTCCCTCCAAAAAATAATGTATAGCACATAATAGGGATACTGCATGTGTATGTGTATATATATATATATCTATCTATATACATATGTAGGTGTGTATATATATATACACATGTGTATATATAGGTAAATATGTATGTATGCATGTATGTATGTATGTATGTACGTACATACATACGTACATACATACATACATACATACACACACATATTGAAGTGCATATACACATATTAGTACACATACCTGTACATGCACATCGCATCGAAAAAAAGCAGGCGAGCTGCAGGAGCATCTTTGCGAAATCCATCTCAACGATCGATTTCTCCGCCAGGAACTCCTTTCCGGAGCTCGACAGGTTTAGGGCTTTGGGGCTTGAGATAGATATGGGGCTTGGGGTCTAGAACTCCGAGCCCAAAGGATGGTGTTTAGGGGTGTTGAATGCAGACGGTATACCTGGTATACCCTCAACCCTTAAACCCTGAACTCTAAGCTTCAAACCTCTAAACCTACCTACCTGTGGGGTTGCTTATTATGGTTTCTTTGTATAAGTCCTTAAAAAGGTATTTTTTTGGGCCGCAGGCAGTCCAATCCCTAAACTCCAACACCCCGAACCCTGACCTGCACGCCCAAACACGCAGTCGGATCCTTTCGGGAGGGCTCTTCACGCAGGCAGGGGCTGCTTGGGATTCTTGGGGGATCCTCAGGGGCACCTGAAGGATCTCCATGAAAAGGGTTTTTTGTTGGGGGGGTTTAGGGTTTAAGGTTTAGGATTTAGGGTTTAGGGGGTTAAGGGTTTAGTGCTTTTCTTGAGGGCCGTTTGGTGTCTGCGGCGTTTCGGTTTAGGGTTTAGGGGCTCCTAAACCCTAAACC